TTTTTATCTAAAGTGTTGCCTTTTTCGATTGCCAAAAATTAGCAGTTCTATTAATTTTTTATTAGTAATTATCACTTGTTTTATTAGCAAATCACGTTCTAATACATTTTGTTTGAATAGATGTTTTTTTTTTTTTAGATATATGTATGTACATATGTACATAATTTAGTAACTAATGGCAATTTAATTATAGAATCACGCCTGAATATCGTTCAACAATTTTTAGAAATATGTATCGACACATGCATGTTCATGCACTATGTTTTCAAACACAATGCAAATGACGAATTCACGATTTTGTTTTTTAATTTTTTTTTTTTTTGTATTCATTTAGTTTTGCAAAAATTATTTTTATGGCCGCACTCCTTCATGATTATTCATTTCAAAGCATTTGCACTCGTAAAAAAATATTATTATTTTTTTTTTTTTTTTTGTTTTTATACAAAGCGCAAATTGCCCTTCAAACGGAACATCGATCTACTCGATACAAGTATAGAACTTCGACTGCGATCTGTTAATGGTTTTAGCGATTATTTGGAGCTGAATGCCGATATGCCACCCTCAGGAGGCGCGAAAAATCGACAAAGCATATCTTTGCTTTTGCCAAGGTACACACTACCACTATGAGCGTGCTATTCTATACATACATATGTATGTTTCAATGTGCGCAAATATGCATGTTTGTATGTATGTTTAGTCATACAAAAAAAAATAAATTCAATACGAACTTGATTAGGTACGAATGCGTCCGATTTCCGTAGGCGAGAATCCTAGGCCTTTGTGACATCACACATTTAATGTATGTTTTAAGTATGTATGTATGTATGTATGTTTGTATGCAAATTAGCAATGAAGCTACTGAACCTACATAAAACTTTCTTATTTGTTTATTTTTACGGTGTTTTTTGATGGTCGATGAATGCATACAAGAAACGTTATTGTTCTTGTAGTTATATTTGCTATTCATATGAATATTTGAAATATGGCTAAGTACCTGCATACATACATACATATGTACATTATTTTGAAGTGCTTATATGACACATTGGTGTATGAATAATATAATATACCTACATATGTACATACACTAAATAAGTGAAAAATTGCAAGCTTCTTAATATGTACTTATTATGTGCATACATATGTATGTATGTATATATGTATATAAAAAATGGTATGATGCCGGCTTAAATATTGGCAGTGGAACAGGCGTTCGCATATTTCCATATGTTTTTAAAATACATACATACAATGTGCCTTTTCTACACCTGTACTCACAACTGCAAAAATGTTCTTAAGCAGGGATCACACGATTTGTACATTTGTACAGATTTGTACATTTTCACAGTTAAAGAGTGGTGTTCTTTGGAAATTTGTTATTGAGCTGAACTCATTCACGATACAAATTTCTAGGCAACACCACTCTGTGACAGCCAAAATTCACAAACCTGTACAAATGTACAAAACGTGTGCTCCATTCTATATGCGTAACAACATAACGACATTTTTTTTATAGTTTACACTGTAACATAGACTATAATAATAAAAGTATAATTGCCTTATTCATA